TTTTGTCTATTTCTTTTGTGGGGAAAGATATTTTACATTTTGGGGGGCCCTAAAGCTCTCTTTTCTATTTTTTTTAGTTAATTTTATTGGTAAACTTAATATATAAATAATGATCACATTCATCAAGGGAATTTGTACCTGTACCTAGTATACCTTGATTCTTCTTTCTTTTCCCTCCCCTCTCTTCTTCCTCCTCCTCTTTTCTTCTTCTTCTTCCCCTCCTCCTCCTCCTTCTCCTCCTCCCCCTCATCCTCCCCCTCCTCCTTATTCTTCTTCTCCTTCTTCATTTTTCATTTTGTCACAGGTCTCCTTAAATTGCGTAAGCTGGGCTACATCTTGCTTTCCTCTTGCCTCAGCCTCCTAGAATACTGGGGTTATAGGCGTGTGCCACTCTGCCCACTTTTTAATATTTAACATGTCCACTCATCTCCATTTTCACCCTCATATCCAATTCTCAGCCAGAATAAAGTCAACTCTCATCTTTATTACTGTGGCAATCTCTAAACTAATCTCCTTTCCTCCATGAATCAATCCTGCACATTGGAGGACAAAAGCAAAGCTTAGTATGATGTCCCTTCTGAGACTCTTTTATCTCCCACACGACCCCTATCTCTACTCCTATCCTTCAAATTGAACTATTTAATTGTTTCTCTTACTCTTGGGATGAGAAGCAACATCAGATGAATTTCAAAGCAACTATTATTACTATGTTATGCCAACCATGTATTATAATTATCCAGGAAAACACACTCACAATGAATGAAAAGAGGTAAATCTCAAGAGAAAAACAGAAACTTTATAAAGGATCAAATGGAAAGCATAAAACTGAAAACTATAATATATGAAATTAGAAAGCCAGCCTTGATAGTAGTAACTGTTCAGTGTCACTGATAACTGTCTTCACTTATACAACTATTCAGTTCCTCCTTCCTTGAGTGTTTGGATGCCTGACTCCAGCATTTATGCCAAGGAATATTGCTATAACTTAATACCATCCTAAACTCATTCACTACCCTGACCACTATTTCCACCCAGATTGATTCATGATTCCCTTCAGAGGTGGCTTTAAAAATGTGTCCCCAAATTACATAGATTTTGCCCCTTCAAAGAGTAGAGCCTGATTCCTTTCAGTGTGGAGAGGACTTAGCAACTTGTATCTAATGAAGAGAATATGGCAGAAGTTGTAATGTGCTAGAACAGATCGTAAAAGATAGAGTTTCTCCTCTTTAGCTTAGGTCACTCACTATGAAGAAGATAAGTCCATTCATGGAGGCATTCAAGGAAACCTATGAAGAGTATCACACAGAAAGAACTGAGACCTCGTTCCAAAAGCCAGCAAGACATGCTCTGCCAACAGTCATGCACTGTAAGTAAAATTCTGTCTTTCCATAAAAGATAAGTTGGAGATGTAATTTCTATGACCATAGAATGTGACCTTATTTAAAGATTGGTTTGTGCACTGGTAATCATGTAAAAATAGTCAATTAATGTGTCTCAATCCAATATAATCAGTGTCCCTATAAGGAAGGGAAATGGGACGTGAATATATACATAAGGAGAACAGTATGTGAAGATGAAATTGGAAATCAGAGATGCAACAAAAAGTCAACAAACACCAGACTGCAAGCAAACCACTGAATTCTAGGACAGTAGTATGGAACAGATACTTCCTCACAGATCTCAGAAAGAACCAAAACTGCTGGTACCTTTATCTTACGCTTCCAGTTCCCGGAACTGTGAAAAAAATAAATATCTGTTGTGCTAAGGCACTCTGTTTTGGGTACTTTGTTACAGCAGCTGTTACAAACTAATACATTATGAGAATGAGCCACATTGGAACCAGTTCTTCCGGTCCTGGTCAGGCTTTCAGAGCACTGCAGCTGTGAGCAGTATCTTAACTATAATTTCTTGAGATGTCCTGGCCAACAGCCACCTGCTGAACAGTTCCTATATTCCTGCCCCAGGGAAACTATGAGATAAATATTTGATATTTTAGCTTCTTTTACAAACTGAACTATACTCCATCTTAAAAAATAAATACAGATGCTTAGAAGAGACAACAGAGAAAAATATATGTTTGGGAGAAAACATAAAAGGATATAGTCCAGGATCACACTGCAGTAAGCCACTGGTACACTCAAAGAAGGAAGTGTAAGGGAAGCTTTTATTTACAAAAGGAAGAAATTTCCATAAATGCTTGGACACATGAATTCACATAAATGCTTGCTTTGTCTCCCTAGGCAAGAGCTGGTGTCGGCTCATGAGTGGAAGTGCATTGCTGGACAAGTGTGTTCTGACCTGAGCACCTTACCTGAACTGATGCAATCTTAAGCATGTTAAATATAAACTTTGGTACAGAAATCTACGTATAGATGCAGTGTGTAAAACAAGGAGCTCCTTGTGGGGTTTTTCTTTCTTTCTTTCTTTCTTTCTTTTTTTTGATACCGGGGATCGAACTTGGGACCTTGCTTGCGCTTGCCAGGCTGGCGCCGGAACCACTGAGCTAAATCCCCGGCCCATCTTGTAGGGTTTTACACAGTATTTATGTCACACAATATGAGTTCTCCTTCATAAAGTCCAGACTCTAATTTTATCTGAGCTTGACAAAAATGGTTTCATCTTGGAATCAGCAAGTTTCTTAAGCCCTAACGCTGCATATGACAGTACTTGGAGGTAAGGACCTTAAAGAAGTAATCAAGGTTAACTGAGGTCATAAATGTGGGGGCTTAATCTGATATAACTGTTGTCCTGAAAAGAAGAGAAAGAGACACCAGGTATCTAGGGAAAACACCTGGTGAACACACAAAAGATAGCCATCTGCAAGCTTCAGGAGCAAGCAAGCCTGCCAACACCTTCATCTTGGACTGGCTGACTTCAGAGCTGTGGGGAAGTAAGCTTCCAGTATAAGCCAGTCTGCATTATTTTATCATTGTAGCCCTAGCAGAATAATTCAACTGCTAAATTGGGGGTAATCTGTCACACAGTGATAATGCAATGTATTTTCTCACTCCATTCTACAGTAAAAACATACATATTTCCTTCTCCATTCAGCACACAGAATTCTCTCAAAACTTTAGCTGCAAAGTACGCAAATTAAGAAATTGAGCAAAATTTCTCTGAACAAACTCTATGTTCAAAATCTTAATTATCTCAAATAATGGAAAAGGTTCGGTGAAAAGTTTGTCAAATGAGGAGCAAGTCTTCCCATGAGTCACCTCTGAGTTTGACAAGAACGCAACGGAAGATGATGATTATACTATGAGTGACCCTGTTCAATTTTAGGCTGTGACTGTGAACAAAATTCTAAGAGAAAGATGAGAGGAAAAGAAGCTTGCCTCTAAGATGACTGAGCACTTCTGTCCATTGAAAATAACTACCACCTCCCTCTGCTTGCCGTAGCAGCTGCATCTACCTCTCTGCCACTGTAGTGAATGAAATTCCTGGCCCCTTTGCTCTTCAAGAGCAGTGACGTGTCTCAGTTATCATTTTCAATTCATTACACTTTCTAGAACAGTGCAAGCGTTTAATAAATGTTTGGGGAAAAGATCTCCCTCTCTACTTCTATCTAGGGCAGTCCCAAACCAGGCAGTCTTTAAAAAGGGGCAGCACTCAGCTGTGAGTCTTGCTCTGCTCTCATCTTGCTCCCTCAAGAGAACTCTGCTCTGCTCCTGACAAATCCAAAGTCAGCCTCTTGGGCAAGCAATTTTACCTTCAACTTGGCAGCTTCAAATTGATGGGTAAGCTCTCTCCCATTTAATCCTCCATAATCCCTTTCCCACTACCATGGCTGTGTCATGTCTTCCACTTGCTAATCACAACCCTCAGTGTCCCTGAATCCCAGTATCTGCCTCACTAGCCCCTTCTCTGTCTCCTCACTGACCTGAATCATCACCCAGCTTATTATCAATAGCACCGCCAAACCATCTCACTACCCAACTCCAGAGCAGGCTGGGTAGAAAATTCATCAAAATGTTTGAAGCTGGAGAACCAGCACCTTATGGTTTAAGGACCTTAAATCTCTTTAGTTTGGGTTTTGTGAAGACCCAGAGGGTTGGCCATGACAGACTGAAGGCAGCAGGGCCTTCTCCAGTGCTGAGAGGCCCGAGTGCAACGTGGTGACTTCCCATTAGTCTTGGAGCTACTTAATCCCCAAAGCCTCCCCCACGGACTCCTGCAGGGCCCTCTGGCACCCAGGGGCCTCACATGCTGCTGCTGATCTCAGCTCTGGTGACCAAGTGTATAAAGGTGCACTTCAAAGTTAATCTTATTTTATTTCCCACTGAAGCCCACTTCCATCCTAATTGAACAACTGCACTTGAATAAGACTCACTCGCTAAATGGGTAATGTACCTCAAATATTAAAGTGTGCTAGGAAGCTAATTCACGGGATTTTTGAACCTTCATACTCTGTGACCCTAAGAAAAAATTTTTGTTTTTAGTATAGCAATAACCAGGTGACTCATGAGCGCACATTTTCATTCATCTCCTTGATTCCACCGTATGCAACACCGTTCCAAGCTAATGCTTACATAGAAAACTCAAGGGGAGAGGAGACCCTAACACTGAGCTGCTCTGAGTGATTTCTCACAAAGTTAACACTTCATGCTCCCTTTACTAAGCTCTGATCTTGAAGGAGGTGTTTCGGGGACTCTTGTGGGGCGCCATGGTGGCTTTCCGGGAGAGTGCCCTTCGTTTTATTAATGACAGTGAGAATTTAGCACAGCAATGATCTGAGCGGGTAAAACGCTCAGTCTGGGTGGTCAGAGGGGGCCAAGTCCCCGGAGGTGCACGCCAAGCTGGGCCCCGCTAAAGGAGCCAGCTGCAGTGGACCAAAGCCACCACCAGATGGAACTCAAGGACTAGGATCGCGGAGAAGAATGTCGGGTCCCCTCCAGCAGCCCCCGGGTGCCATCCAAGGCCAGGATTGGCCATCAGGGAGCAGAGTTGCAGACACTCCACCCACTCTGTAAAGCGGGGAGGTCTGCGGCCTTTGATGGACTCGGGCACTGACGGGAGCGGGGTGCAGGTTTCTCCCGCCTTCGCCCGCGGAGGGAGTGCACGTGGGTCCTGTGACCCTAGGACAGGAAAGGGGCGGGCGCGAGAGCAGAGCCGCCAGGCAGAACGACTGGCCCCGTTAGGGGTGGTGGACTTTGCCTCTGCCGATTCCAGGAAGCACAGGACTGAAGACTGCCAGCAGCCTGCACCCTGGGCACCGTGCGGGACTTCTAACGCTGGCGTTGCGCGTGAGGACTTAGGAGGCTGTCGCGTTTGGGAGTTTTGTGCTTTGTTTTTTTTCTAGTCCTGAGCTACTGAAGAAAGAGTTTGGTGCTTGACTGTCGGAGACATGAATTACGCACGGTTCGTTAATGCGACCAGCGCAGCCAGATACTTATCTCCCATCCGAACCTTGGGTGAGAAACGGGGCCAACGCCTGTCCTGCCTGGTGGAACCTTTGGGTCACTGCTGGGTCGCATGCATTCATTCAGCTGTGAGGGCTCACTGTGAGCCAGGCTGGGGCAGAGACCAGGCAGGCGGAGCCTTTGTTCTCAGGGAAGGCGGGCTGGAAGGCCAGGCAGCCACGGAGCGTTTCCAATAGCATGGAGAAGGAGGACCAGAGAGGCTCAGCCTGCCTCCCTGGAGATTGGTCCTGGGAGGGAGGCTGTGGAGCGAGGCCCTTGCTGGCAAGGCAGCGGGGCAGGCACAGTGCGGAGAAGTGTGCGGGGTGGGGTGCGGGCTGCTAAATGGGAGAGGAAGGCTGAGCCAGGACGCTCACAGGCAGGTGCGGGCGAACTGCAGGAGAATCTTGTTACCCTGGCCCTGTGTTTATTCCTGGCCCCTCTGCCTTCTCCCTGGTCATCCTCATTCTTCAGTCCTTCCACCAGTGAGGAGGCGCAGAAAAAGTTGCTCTATACTTACTTTAGACTCAGGCTCTATCTTAGACCATTTGGGCTGCTATGTCAAAATACCATAAACTGGCAATTTAGAAACAACAGAATTTATTTGTCACAATTCAGGACGTTGGAAAGTCCACCATCAAGGTGCTGGCCGCTTCCATGTTGGGTGAGAGCCATTCCTTATACATTTACACAGCACCTTGTTGCTGTGTCTTCACTTGGTGGAAGAGGGTAACGTGTGTCCTCATTTGGTGGAAAGGTGCAAGGGCACTCTTTGTAGCTTCTTTTTAAAAATCACTTATTTCATTCACGCAGTTGCAGCACTTGTGATCTTAAAGACACCTTAAAGACCTCTTAAAGACCCTTGACTCCTGTTGCTGTCACATGAGGTATTAGGTTTCAACATATGAAGAGGGGACACTAACATTCACACCATGGCACGTTCTGCTACTAGAAATTATCAAACTTTGTACTTGACTGTAGTACACATTGAACTGCCTCTGTTTCTAAGTCTTCAATAAAAGTGTTTGTTCTTTTGCATGTTAATCATAGCTGATGTCCTGGTCAGGTCACCAAAATCACTCATCTCCTTGGCTCCTGGATATCCAAATCCGAACACCTTTCCCTTTAAAGGTGCTATTATCACTTTAGAAGATGGAAATACCATCCAGTTTGGAGAGGAAACCATGAAGATAGCACTTCAATATTCTACAAGTTCTGGGTGAGTTTTGAATAGATAACATATTCTCCGTGGTTCATTTTCATGTCCCATTTGACTTGTGTCTTTTTTAACAAAGTGTTTGATGGTTGGGGAGGTTGAAAAAAAGTTCTCCAACACTAATTAAGAGTGAAAGGAATACTAAATGCTTCTCAGGGAATGCTTTTCAAATTTAAATAACTAGGAAAGCCAGAGAATCTTCTGGAAGTATCATTTAAGCTGAGTGTGAAAACTGAACAGGTACTGGGTGAAGAAACTTTGAAAGAAAGGAGGAAAAAAGAGGAATTTTAAGTCTCTGGGTAATTTTATAATATTGTAATTATGTTCCCTTTTAAGCAAGCAACTATGCAAATACATTTCACAGGTTTAATGTCTAATTTCTTAAAGGCAAGCTGAAACATGCCTTAAAACTTTATTAGCTGATCTTCAAATGATAAGGGACAATTTATGAAATCTACAAATTACATGTTTTTAATACTTTTGTCATGTGATTCAAGAGCACGTTACACTATAACATATATGAATTATATGTAATAGATAAATAGGCCTTTCTTTCCCTGATACAAAAAACCTATTGAGCCTGAACTTCTGGCAGCCTATAGAAATCTCCCTAAGGATAGTAAGGAAAAAGAAAGAACTTCAGGCTTTGAAACAAAAAGGATATAGATTCAAATCTCAGTTCATTGATTAAATGAATGATGTGTGAATTTCTGGATGATTGAATTTATGTGAATTTACTAACCTCTGAATCTGTTGCCTTATTTTTTTTTTTTTTTTGGTACCGAGTCCTTGTGCTTTCAGGGCAGGCAGTGGAACCACTGAGCTGAATCCCCAGCTCTGTTGCCTTATCTTATAAATGCTAAATTGATATTGGCAAAAAGTATTTGAGAGTTTGAAATTGAACATATAATGGTTAGATGTAAAGCTACCATTTATTTCCTGTCTTCTGTTACAATGATTATTATTACTATAAATTTAAACATATATCTTGTTGCTTTAGATTTCCAGAGCTTGTATCTTGGCTAAAACAGTTGCAAATAAAATTGCATAATCCTCCCAACACCCATTATCCACCTAACCAAGGACAAATGGATCTCTGTGTCACATCAGGCGCCCAAGATGGTCTTTGTAAGGTAAGGCTGAAAGGAAAAGGTGGCCAAGGCGCGGAATCAAATATGTTCCTAAATACAATCATCTCCCACTTAACCACAGGAGGATCAGGTTTTGAAAATTACTAATAGTATTTCTTATTCTCATATAATATTATAAACAGGAAACTCAAAGACAAAGCATAGGATGGAAGGTGTATAAAAGAAGAGATATATAAAAGCGGAGCTTTAACTACACACAGACATTAGGTGTAAATACTTTGGGTTAATATATTGGTATATTGATAGTTCCTTCTCATTTCCCTCATTGTGAAAATGAAAACTTTAAAATATTATCTGCTCTTAGTGGCATTCAGCAGTCTGCTTTTTCTTTAACATACACCTTTGCTCAATGCCCTGGAGCTTTGAGTTGTTAAACTCAGATTTCTAGTATGAGAGCATTCAAATTCTACAAAAAGCTTTGTAACACTGCTTAATTTCATCTGCTTCAAAGATACAGGTCAACATTAGTTGACTTTATGTTGATATGAAACTTCAATATAATTTTTAGATTCTTTAAAGGGCATGTTGTGATACTCCTGAGACAAAAACTTTATTCCTTTGCATGCCCCTTGATAGAATCTCTCTGCTTACCACTTGCTCTCTGCTTACCTCTCCTTGGCTGTACTTCTCTTATAGGGAATGGGAATGGGGACATTACCATAGACCTCTGCAGTTGGTCTTCAGTCTCCTGTGAGACACTACAACACAAGCTGAGTAAAAGTAAAGACAAAAACCAAGACTTAGAGAGAACTGGGTCTTGGGGCTGATCAGTGCTGCTCTGATCACCAAAGAGAAGGAGGGGTGCTAAGAGCACCCAGTATTTTATTGTCTACAAGCATGGGAAGGTAAGAAAGGTATGCTTTGAAGACATCAATTGGCACAATGTGGAGCATCTGGAACCATCTGGCTGGAAGCATCTGGTGATGGCTGATATGCAGGCAGGTATAGCTGATATGCAAACAGGGATATAAAGGAGGAAGACACTGCTTGTCTTGCTTAGAGAGATCAAAGGCTGCTGAGACTGGATTGCAATTAACCAGAGTCTGCTAATACTGGGCAGAGATGTCTGCTACATCTCTTCTGTTGTTGTTTATGTAGCACCAGTTGGTTATAGTTCCTCCATGGCATATGTCTGTGCCTGGGTTTCAGTAGCAGGTGGTATATCAGGTCTGGTAATCTCTGCAGGTCTGAGTTTGACCTCTGTTGGAACACAAGCATACTCTTTCCCCTGTATTATTAATTGCATTGAGCCATTTTACCTTTTAGTTAGGAATCCTTTGATAACATTTGTGTCTAGGACATGTCTCTAGATTTATCTTAGTGTCAATGTAGTTTTAATAGAGTATATTTACTTTCCATAAGTGGATTTAAAAAGTTTTTAAATGAAGGCAACAAGAGAACGTAACAAAATCTAATTGCACTTGTAGAGGTAGCTGTACTCCCCCTTTTTGTTTATGTAAGTGTGTTTTTAGGGAAAAGCAAGTATGCCCCACAATAGCTTGCCCCTATGAGTTATAAGGACCTATAATGGGTTTAACTGGTTTAGCTGTCTATAATAAATTTCTTTTAAAGGGCTATCCCCAACTGCAGTTAGGGGACAAGGGCCACAGGTTTCATCTAACTGCTTCAAGCTGAGAAGGATCAGTGTAGGGAAGACTGCAGTTAGAGATCCTTTTTAGGGAGCTAATTTAAGGGGCCTTAAATAAAGATCATGTTGCAATTTAGCAATTATAAGCTCTTTATAAAGTTAATCTGTTAAGTTTTGGTGAAAACAGGTCTAGCACATTTGTTGTTGATATTATCTGTATGATCACTTGGAGTTTGGCAGCCAAACTCCAATATTATTATTATTATGTAATATTATATATTAATATAATATATTAATATATTATATTATTATACCATAAACTCCAATATTATTATAAGCACTAATAAAATTTTTAAAGAAATTACAGCATGTATAGTCAAAGTAAAACACTAAAATACAAAGGCAGTTTAGGGAAAGAGCCATGTTCAGGAACTGTTTTTAAGGGATTAAAATAGTGAATGTAACTTGTCGACTCATAGACCCTTCTCTAATGGAGATTATCTATAAGTCTGATATTTTCTTTTAATTTTAGCTATATAAAGACTAAAGTTTTAATAATTTTAAAAAACAATTTTAGCTAAAAAATTTTAAAGACTCTTGTTGAGCTTGTATAAATTTTACCATGGTTTTATCTAATGACCCATAACAGTGATTAGCCACCAGTGTATCTGGAAACTGCCAGAAGGGGTCAGCAATTGGAGCCTCTTTTTTAAATCTAGCTTTATTACTATGGTCTTGATTGAATATATCTTTCGTTATACTTTCAAAACCAAGTTACAGTGAGACCTATATTAAATAAAATTAACCTCTTGCTATCTGTCAAGGTCAATTAAGTCTCCTCAGACATTATCTTGGAACCATGTATAAAGCCTCTGAGCGCCTGTCAGTGTCAGCCGTCAGGATGTGTCATGGCCTTGCTTGACCATGTTGCTTTCTGAGAGAGTATGGGAGATTTTCCCTCCAAGTGATACTCCTTTGGCATACTGTATCATTGAATCTTACCATTTTGATGTCCAGCAATCTCCCTGCTCAGGAAGTTGGGTGACTTACCAAAGATGTGGGATCTTGTAGAAAAGACTCCCTCATGATCTAGATCTTTTGTTGACCTTGGAGGGCCAGGGACAAAATATTGGCTGTCTTCTTATTCCAGTTACCTTTAAGTTCTGGTCTCTAAACTTTAGTTGTTGAACACCCAGAAGAGAAGATCAATAGCATTAGCATTGTAATGAGAGTAGTGAACTTAGCAATTACACTTTTACCTGAATTATCAAGCATTTTGGAATATAACATATAGTTAAAGGACCCTTATGTTTACCAATCATGGTTGTTCTGGTAGTTGAATTCCTATAGAATGGCAACAGAAAAAAGCTTTAAATCAAGAACCACACATAATACTTTAACATGATAATCATGATGAGATTATCTTTGTAACACACTTAAATGTGTATCTTAGTATAAAATAGCCATTGTTAAACCCAGTCACTCCCCCTCCAAAAACACACACACAAAAAAAACCTCTTACCAAAGCTGTTATCTTTTGATAGGATGGCATCTAAGGAGAATGTATAGGCCTATAAATGTACTGTTATCATAAATAGCAGAAGCATAAGAGAAAAGCAAATACCTGAATCAAAAGGTGGTTATTACCATAAACAATATGTTGGAAAACCTATACAGTTAGAAAGCAAGAATACATTTTGTACACAGGAAAAGCAGCAATAGTAAGTATCACAATTATATGAAACCTTGTGTTCTTCAATGTAGCTTGATACCAAAAGCATCTTTTTATTAAAACCTTGTTTTTTTCCCCACAGAAAATTTAATCTTATGAAGACAACCAATGTAAACATATCACAATAACATGTTTAGAACTCAAACTTTTGATGATAATCAATGTAAACATTTTACAGTAACACATTTAGAACTTAACCTTTTGATGTTAACTGATGTAAACATTTTATAATAACATATTTAGATAATGTTTATTGGAGTGTGCCTCCCATAATTCTATGAAAATTATTGGGGCTCCCATCAGTGAACAAAAACCAGAATAATTGTTTTTTGGGCAGGTGCTCCTTTATCCACCAAAGGGAGTCCCATATAGCAGTCTCTCCAAACCTAAGGGTCTCCAATTAATTATTTTGACACATTTTTAATAACTTGTAAAAACCTGATTGTAACAATTAATACATTATTTGCAGCCAATAAAAAAATTTTGAGTTCTTGTATGTAGACATCAATATGCATTACATTTGTAAAATTAATCTTGACATCATTTTGATTAGCTAGCAACCTGGGGGGAAAGGCATGCCTTTAACTTCAATAACATTTATCCATCAGCCAATTTAAATTATAAGCAAATATCTTTCTTTTAAAAAATTATATATTTTTGTGGGAGGGGTAAGGGAAAGAAAAGAAGGGAAAGTAAAAATATGAGAAAAGGAAAAAATGGAAACGAAGTCTTTGCAAATAGGGAAGGGTGGGCAGGGGAAGGGGAAAAAAATAAGAACCAAGATACTCATGTAATGGTACAAGATCCCAATGATGTCTGTAAATGTATTTTATACCTAAAATGTACCAATAAACTTAATGGGGAAAATAATTGTGTATTTTTTAAAGGGCCAAAAAGGGAAAAAAATTGTTGAACTCAAACAAAACAGCTGTACAAGTGGATAGACAGACAAACATATAAGACAATTTATAAAACTAGAATGCACTGAAATATATTTGTCTAAATTGAATTATAATATCTCTTTTATAATGTTTAGGTTTATAATTGTAAGTAAAACTAGCTACAACCTTTTGGAGGTCAAGTAACAAAAATCTCTTATAATTAGAATCAGAAGGAATAAAAGTGCTTTCTATCTGTAAATGTAAAAGCAACTTTTAAGGTGGCCTTTTTATTTTTCTCACTTACTATAAATCTGCTATAACATGCTGAAACCCAACAAGCAAACATACGTATTTTCTTTGATAAATCACTTTTGCACACATTTTCAACATATATAAGTTTTCTAGTCTTGTCATAATATATCTTTTTATCCTTCTAACAAGAAAAAATCATACAAAATCCTTTTATATCATAAGTGTATCTCTTGTACTTATAGCCCTCTTAATATTTTTGTCCATCTAACTGCCCATCTTCTAAAACAAGTTGGTAATAGAACAGTACTAATATACTAAACATTTTGAAACCAAAAAATTTATTAATTAGCTAGAACTTATAATTTGATTTTTTAATAAAACCTCTATATGTCTAGAAGAGCACAATTGCAGGTTTTTCAGCTTTGACTATATAGCTCCAGTTTATAGGCAGAGTCAAGCTGATATAATAAAAGTGGTTATAGCCTCTTGAATTTGAAAGCCTGGCTGTAACACTTTAAATTTGAATGGATGTTAATGTATCTAATATAAACAAACAATAGAAAAAAGGGTAAATTACTCTCATAGTTACGGTTTAAGAACTTGTAATATATGAGAAATGTTTTAAATACACCTATTAAACATCAATTTAACATCAATTAAACATCAATTTAAATTGGAAAAGAAAGGTACACTTGTCAATTAGCTAAAATTTTTAAATCAAAAATGTTTTTTAAAAAAGTTTTCCCTACTTGGCAGGACATCACAATGATTTTAATATGCACCACGCAGTCTTCAGCAGTCCCTGGGCAGTAACAGAGCAATTGGTCTTTGTGCTCTGACCTTAAGTGTTGTATTTTGTTTGAATTGTTTTAAAACTTTATGTTTTGTTTTCCAATATTTATGTAGAAAACAATAGGGCCTGATGTAATTTCTTGCTAGTGCAGCCTGCCAAACAAGTTGTTGATATGTGAATAGGCAGGGATTAGCCTCCCACAGCTCTAGAGGCCTGGGCTAGAAAAGAGTTTTACTTTCCTTTGAGGAGTCCAATTTAACTACAGCCTTTTCTGGTACTGAGTAGTTTGATTTAACATCATCGTAAGCAATTTGGCAAGGGTGTACTCTCTGATTATAAAGATTGTAATTTGTATTTTGTTGTATTTTGCCCTAAGTATACCTCACAGGCTAATCCAACCATGGATTCAAATGTTATCCACATTGAGCACCAAATATAGGGAACAGGAAAGGGGACATTACCATAGACCTCTGCAGTTGGTCTACAGTCTCCTGTGAGACACTACAACACAAGCTGAATAAAAATAAAGACAAGAAACAAGACTTAGAGAGAACTGCATCTTGGGGCTGATCAGTGCTGTTCTAGGCACCAAAGACAAGGGGTACCAAGGGCACCCAGTATTTTATTGACTATAAGGGTGGGAAGGTAAGAAAGGTATGCATTGAAGACATCAAGAGGCATATGGTGATGGCTTATATACAGGCAAGAATATCTGATTTGCAGGTAGGAATAGCTGATATGCACACAGGGATTAAAGGGGGGAAGGTATTGCTTGTCTTGCTTGGAGATCCAAGGGTGCTGAGACTGGGTTGCAATTAACCAGTCTGCTAATACTGGACAGAGATATCTGCTACATTCTATAGATCTATATAAAGATGTTACTCAATTTACAATGGGCCTATTTCCTGATAAGCCCATCCTAAATTGAAAATACGGCAAGTCTGAAATGCATTTAATATACCTAACCTACTGAAAATAATGACTTAATGACACAGCACACTGCAGAGTATCTGTTGTTTACTCTCATGATCACATGGCCTGCTGGGAGCTGGTGCCCCCTAGCAGTCTGTGAGAGTATCATACTGCATATTGCTAGCCTTGCAAAAGGTCAGCATTCAGAAATCAAAGTACAGTTTCTACTAAATGCATATAACTTTCACAGCAGTGTAAAGTGGGAAAACTGTTAAGTTGAACCACAAGTCGGAGACCATCTGTGTATGTCTGTTTCTAACTTCTGTGGCTTTGTTTCTTTGCTCCCTCTCTCTTCACCACCTCCCCAACCCTCCTTCCATTATTGCTTCTGCTCCCTGCTGGGCTCCTTTAAGCTCCACACAGGTAACCACCACTGGGTAGACCCCATAATAAAAGACTACACCTCTGGTCAGTTTCATCTATATCCTTTTTTTCTTCTGTTTTTCATGAATAATTAATTCTAAATAAAGATTCTGTGTATTCAAACTTTACAACAAATTAAAGTGACTCTTATTTCTCTTCATTCATGTTACATCAGAGTAGCTTTCTTTTTCTTCATTTTTATTTTATGAAAAATGCAATCAGATTTACTTTAATGAGCTTTAATTATTATACAATAAAGAATTATACTAAAATACTTGTAAAAAATCTTTATAAATGCAAACAATTTTTCTTTCTCCTGTGGAATTTAATTAGGAAAAGTAAAAGGATTAGCTACTATCTGAGTGTTTGCTTGAAGAGAAACATTTGTGATACCATGGACTGATATTTTAAAGGACTCATTCGATAAAATTATTTTCTTTTTTTTTAATTCTTTCATTGGTACATTTTAGGTATACAACACAATTACATTTCTCATTGGGAACTTGTACCTTTACATGATGCATCTTGGTTCTTATTTTTTCCCCATTCCTAGCCCTCCCTTCACCCCCTCCACCCTTCCCTATTTACAAAGACTTTATTTCCATTTTTTCCATTTCTCAGCATTTTTCCTTTCCCTTCTTTCCTTTCCCCTGCCCCTCCCACTACTCCTACCCCTTTGGAACTTTTCATCCTATTTTGCATTATCAATTATTCATTCTAATCATTGGTACATTTTAGGTATACAATATAATGACATTCATCATTGGAAATTTGCACCTTTACATAATCTCTCTTGGTTCTTATAAAATTATTTTCTTAGGACACTATACTGTGAAGTTTTTTCTTCAGGGAAAAAAATCCCTGAATCAAGCAGGTTCTTCTGTCTCTGTCTCTACACCAGTCATATCAATCATATCACCATCTTTGGCCGAATACATCAATAACACATGACTATAGACCTGCTTATTACAAGACCCTTAGTAGGAATCTGGATTCACATTTCTTCCACTTTGTTCTCCGAGACAGATGTTATTTTAGGTTCCTATGTTTGACTGTATCTTTTTGATGAGAAACATCTCTCCCTTTTAATTTAGAGTATTTGACATTTGTATATCCCTTAGTTGACATGGAAATGTACATACATACATGTCTGAGTCACTTTCTTATCACTAAGACTCAATGGTGAACTGATGGCCACAGTTTAAAGCAGGAGCAGTTGATTTCGACTCACCATTTAAGTCTATGATCACTCTTAAGCAGAAATGGCATGGTGGAAGGATCTGGCAGAAGAAAACTGTTCATGTCAAGGTAGTCAGAGAGAAAGAAAGAGCCAGACAGGGAGATACGCCCTTCCAGGCACACTCCTAGTGACCCTCCTCCATCCAGACCACACCTTCTTAACAGCACACTTGACAACTGAACACATTGGTGGATAAATCTACTGATGAGTACAGTGGTCCCAGGATCCAATCACCTTCCAAAAGCCCTACCTCTGAGCATATGACAGCTTAGGGGACATTCTTGATGTAAACTATAATACCACCCATCACCCAAATGCCTAAATGGTATACTCACTGTCTACTACAGGCTGGTCTCTCTCCACTCTCCTCTTCACACTCCTCAACTCCCAGAATTCTTTCAGTTTCTGAAAATGTCCCTATTGTCACCCCTGCCACCAAGTAATCACTCAGAAAGCTTTATCTGAATTCCCTGAATGCCCAACTTTTGCAATGCGCTGTATTTGACATTGTGCTCGCCACTGTTGTTACTCATATATCTCTTTGGATAGTAATTGAATTCTTGTCTAGAAGCTTTTCCAGAGGACGTGTAACTCTTATGAGAACAAGGACCAGGTCCATTTGTCCATTTTTCAGCTCCAGTACTTCACACAGGCATAACTGGTAGCAGACATTTAACAAATTCTCAAAGAAGAAAGAAGATGAATGAATTAATTTTAGAAAACAAATCAGTTATGTTCTTTTTTACTTTTCCCTAGAATAGAGGTTGGTACTTAGGAGTCTCATTCAGATTCCCATCTAGATTTGCAAATAAAGTTTTATTGGAGCTCAGCCACTCCCATTTGCTTTTATATTGTCTGTGACTACTTTCCACTCTAGAAGCAGAGAAATCTGCCAACTGAAACTGTAGAATCATGTGAGCTCAAACTAAATAATGGTGTTCTGAAAATGAAACAATACTATGCAAGCTAACCTATGCTTCTTTTGTTAGGCATTTGAAATGATAATTAATCCCGGAGATAATATCCTCCTAAATGAACCAGTGTATTCAGGAACACTTCAAGCTGTAAGTTCACATTTTTGCAAAATAACAACTCTCTTACAGCAAATATAGGAAAGCCCTGCACCTTTAGAGTTACCTGTCCACTGAAAAATAAAATAGCACCTTTCATCTGTAAACAAGAGAATCTCAAAAATGATATATGCATATGTGTTAAATGTACCCTTTGCTTCATACATTTCTCTTTTAAAATCTAAATGCAGCCATGTGATGGAAAAATTAAATCCATATTTTCATGTCCTTGGATTGGTAGAAATATAGGATGGGATCTACACAGAAGTAATTACAACTCAGAATAAGAACTTTCTGACCATCAGCCCCACCTGACTGCCTAGGAGGTGAAACATTGCCCATGGCTACAGATCCCCAGAGTTACTTGCAGGTCTAATTCAAGCTATTGGGATAATTCAGTTAAAAGTCTCTATGATGAATGACTGTCTTATCTCACCAGCTAACACTTTACCCCACAAGATGGCTGCTGCTCAATTCTGTGGCATCTGCACTGCAAGCCCCAAGTCAACAGAAGCAGTCTCTGCCCAGATCATACCAATCTTAGAGCAAAGGAAAAAGAGACTTAGCAAACCACAAGTTGGATTTTTAAACTTCTTGAAAGGACAAATATCCCTTCTGCTCTCAATTTATTGGCCAGAGCAAGACATATGGCCAAAACAGACATAATTGGAGCAAGAGAATATAAGCCATAGCCAGGCATGACTGTGCATACCTGAAATCCCAGCACTCTGGGAAGCTGAAGCAGAAGGATTGCCAATTCAAGTCCTGTCCTAATACACTGTATAAACTTTTAAAAATTAAAAAAGGAAAATGGAGGACTGGGGATTTATCTCAGTGGTTCTGCCACCTGCCTTGCAAGCACAAGGTCCCGAGTTTGATCCCTGGTACCAAAAAAAAAAAAAAAATGGAAAAATGGGGTTAGGGATGTATCTCAGTGGAAAGCCTTTGCTTCAATTCCAAGGGGAACAATAGACAATGTGAACCCTCTGGAGCTTGGAGCTCAGGGCACGTTTATATGTTTGAGGATGTATATAGTAATATTCCTACTTAGTATTTCTTTAAATTGCACTTATGTTTTGTATTCATGTCTGACTCCTAATTCTTTTTTTTTTTTTTTCGGTGGTCCTCAGCTGCTCCCACTGGGCTGCAACATTATTAATGTTCCCAGTGATGAGTTTGGGATTATCCCAGATGCCCTCAAAGAAATACTTTCCAAATGGAAGCCAGAAGATTCCAAGGACCCCACCAAAAACACCCCCAAATTTCTCTATACTGTTCCAAACGGCAACAACCCCACTGGAAACTCTTTGACAGGTGACCGCAAAAAGGAGATCTACAAGGTATTTCAAAGAATGTGTTCCATGGCTGTGTTCCTGCTTCTGCTTCTTTCATTTTCAATGAGTAATGTCAAGTTCCTTTCTTTTCACCCTCTTGCTTTCAAGGAAGATGACTTTAATAAAAAGAACTCATCTCTGCTAAGAGCCCTAAAACATTTCTACATAGAAAATTACTAATGCTTTTGTTTCTGAGATTTTTTTTCTTTTCCCTTAAGTAGTATATCAGTACAAACAAAATAGCATTCTTGGTGTAAAGTTAAACTTTTTGAGATTATTAATTTTTGACCACAAATTTAATTTTCATTATATTTGTTTTTCACTTGTCTCTTCTGCTTCTTATTCCATTTCATTTCATATTTCAAAGAATTCTTGAAAAATAAGAGGCATGTTCTTCATCTCTAAAATCTCTTTTAGGTACCTATAAAGCCTGGCTTTTTACTATAAGCATTTTCTCAAAATATCAAATGTGTATTGAGTTATGCAGAAATCTTTGAAAAGAGAACTATGCCTTTTGTAAAGTCATTTTTTATACCTGAACTGTGCTCCCTAACCTTTTCTTACAAATACCTTTTTAATATAAACAACAAACTCATGTTAAACAATTTACAATTTAATCATGCCCAGTGGAATCATGAGCAAGATTTCAGCTGTCAGCCAGTACCTTTCACTTAGAATAAAGTCCAAAATATTTTTAACTATTTTTTATACTCTCCTGGGTGCTCTCCTCAGCTTTCTACTCTATTTACAGACTCCTCTGAAACAGTCTCATCCAGTTCCCTGGAAATATCCCATTCTGCACACAAAGAACCTGCATTCCCCAGCCCTACCTCTCCCCTGAACTCCAGACTTCTGTGTCCAGCTTTCTGCTTGATGTTTCCGCCTGGGTGTCTAAAGCATTTCAGACTCAACCTGGCCCAAATACAACTCCTGGTTCGCCAGCACCACCCAAAATCTTGAATCCACAACCCCTCCGCACACTCCCTCTCTATAAATGCCTTCTGTAAACTCCATGAACAGTCAGCCTGCATGTCTCTCTTTACCTGCTCTCTTTTTCCTACTCCACCACCAGGTTTTTCCAAATCCAACCATTTTTCTCCATACTGTCTTCTCAGTCACCACCTGCCCTTACTAGACAGGTGTCCTGGTCACTCACCTCGCTGGGCTCCACTCTTGGTCTCTAAGCAATCACTCTTTGTCTGGAAGCCAGCAATGGCCCTGCTCCATAGTAAATGTAAAAATCCAGGCTCATGGTTCTCCTCTTCACAGTTCTCTGTGACTTGCCCTTGCTGTGAAGGTCCGGATTCCATTGTCCGCCTTTGAAGACTGCGTGATACAATCATTCTCTCCTGAGGACTCCCCTCTCATCATCCCAGCTGTCCCCCACTCTGCAACCCCACAGGCCTTTCTGTTCCTCCAACATGCTAAGGCTCTCGCTCACCCCCAGAATCTTACTCGCTCTCATCTTTCAGTCTAGAATCTTTTCCCCTGATATTTGCACAACTGATTCTTCTCATTCTGTGCTGTAGAACTTCCTTGTCAGGAAAGAGCTTCTCAGTGATTCAAGAAGAATAAACACCCTGCTACTCTTCTCAAACGTGATCTTACATTATGTAGTGCTCTGGCTAGAAGTTAACCCCTGGTCCATGTAATGTTTTTTGGTTCAGTATCCACTGGTGCATGCATAGCCTGCTTTTCCCACTAGAATATAAGTTCCATGAGAACAGAAGTCCTTAGTGCCTCCTTCTTCTTTATCCTCACTGTCTTGGATAACAGAAATCAATAAATTCTTGAATAATGAATGAGTACAGAGAATTATGATTCCAAGTGATTTCAATTTTGGACATCTCTTATGAAATACATTATTTTAACATTTTAGCTTGCAAGCAAATATGATTTCCTCATAATAGAAGATGATCCTTACTATTTTCTCCAGTTCAACAAGGTAAGTGATGATGCGAATGTATTCACTATTAGAAGATAAGTTGTTGTGAGTTATTATACTGTATTTGGGACAAGCCAGACTGATGAGGCAGAGCTATCCATTTTTATCTTTGAATTAAATGAACTATTATTAACTTAGTACCATGTTAATTTTTCAGTTGTCCTCTTTTACCATTAAATGAGTACTTTTCATTTTGGGTGTGACTCCTCTTTCTAGAAATTACTTAACTTCAGAATAGTAGCTAGTCCCCAGAACCCTGAGTACAGGCAGAGTAAGTCAGGCTGATGGTCTTGACTCCAAATGCTAGCTCACAGCTCCCTTAACATCATCCCAGGGATGTTGAAGGTTTTATCTTGGAAGTCAGCTTTAGTCTTGAGATAATGGCTGATGAGGCTGACGTCTAAGAAGGACTGAGATGCTGTGCTCAAGCTGAAGTAGAGCTGGGCTCAGTTAACACTGTTCACATGTGGACATAGAAGAAGGTGTTACAGGCAGCATGCGAAGATTCACCGTCCCCGTCCTTTACAAGTAGATCTTCCCTAAGAATAATGGGCTTTTAGGTCCATCCTCACTCTACAAGCATGCTGCCTTTCATGATTACTGGATCCTAATGGACAGTAGAGGTGGAACAGACTACCAATGACTACTCCATCAAAAGCTAACAGTTTATTTGCTCCCAGGGATGCAGAGAACATATAATCAGATTCAGTCATCCAATCATGTCACCAAAATAAACAAAAATTCTTGATTTCTCTGTATTGTTTGACTGATCATTCTGTACATCTTGATCAACCATCTCTAAGCAGCTGAATGCTTGTGGACCTCTTCATTTTGATCCTGTCCAAATTAGGTTTGCTTTAGTCCTTCCTCTAAGTCAGTTAACCCTGAATTACAACCCCTGAGACAAAGAGTCTTTTCTAACTACGCAGTAATGGTACCTTAGGCAAATAAAGAAGGCCTTGTGTTTGACAAGGAAGCCATGAAGACAGGTAGATGCTAGTAAAGAGCATGCATCTCAGTTTTACTACATGGAAAGGGGTGAGACAAAGATAAGAGATATTTGGGCTACTGTATTTCAAATCCACGCCTCCCCTGCTCTATTCAGTGTTACCCTACAGCTGCTAACACTGTTCACAAACCAAAGTACTTTTCTTCCCATTTTAAGCCCTGGGCACCAACATTTCTCTCCATGGATGTTGATGGGCGTGTCATCAGAGCTGATTCCTTTTCAAAAATCCTCTCCTCAGGGTAAGGTCCATGTCTCTAACCTGAGTCTAGTCTCAGTATCTTTTAATTCAAACAATTCTCATTTAAGAGCTTGAAGCTGAGCATGGTGGTGCATGCCTGGGAATCTGAGATTCTGGGAGGCTATGGCAGAAGAATTACTAGTTTGAGCCCAGCCTGGGCAACTTAGCCACTTAGTGAGTCCCTGTTTTAAAATAAGGGCTGGGATTTAGCTCAGTGGTTTCACCGCCTGCTGCACAAGCACAAGGACCCGAGTTCAATCCCTGGTACCAAAATAAAATAAACTAAAAGATTTTAAAAGAGCTGCAGATGTACCTCAGGGCTAAAGCATGCATTTAATCTCCAGTACTAAAAAAAGTTTGAATTTCACCTTAAAACAGGATACCAATCATTAATATTAATAAGCCTCTTCTCTCTTTATTAATCTTTAATAATCAAAGATAGTTGGCCACTAAGGTTTTAGTAGGACTGGTCAGGATTTTATTACCTTTAAGGAAGAACATATTTGGAAATAGTTGCCCTTGCATCATTTCATTAATGTACACTTACATTTGTATCTGAAATAAGTAGTTGGTTTTATTAGAATGTTTTAATTGTCTGGATTTACTCTTCCCACGTCAAAATGTATCTCGAAATGAACTCAGAGTAGTGATATGTTAATATGGATTGGTTCTGAGCCTTTTCTCTTCTTGTGTAGGTTGAGAGTAGGGTTTATAACGGGCCCAAAGCCACTAATAGAGAAAATTGTTTTACACACACAAGTTTCATCCCTGCACCCCTGCAGTTTCTCACAGGTAAGTGCAATTTACAAAATGATATTGTTAAAAAATCAGACCAGTAAAGAAAGTAGATGTTGACAAGTAAGATTAAGTTAAGGCAGCAAGAAGGGAAACTCATCAATGCTAAATCTCCAATTCCAATACAGACTGAAATAGAAGACCAGATCCCATAGATGTTTACTCTAAAACACAAGTGAATTGTGTTAACCTGGTGTTCTTTGGCAGCGCAACCCAAACTGCTTGGAAATCAAGGTATTACACTCATCTTCTGCCCCTATGAGAACACCAAAATATTATTTTGTGGAACTGAACAAAACGGAACCAAACTTGGTGAAGCAATACTAACTTTGACTTCATTGCCTTGGACCCTACAAAGAGACCAAGAAATCTGAAAATGTTTAGTGACTCACTGTGTACCTTCCTTGCACAGCCAAACCTACACACAGTAGTTGGAATGCATTATAACCATGTTTCCCCAAAGATAAGACCTACCTGGAAAACGGGTTCCAGCATGATTTTAGAAGAGACATCCCCTGAAAATGGGCCCTGGATTTACTCCAAAAGAAGCTGTCTCATTTTCAGGGAATGTTTCTTCTGAAGCCATGCTGGAACTGGGTTACCAGGTAGGTCTTATTTTGGAGGAAACAGGGAATTAAAATAAAATTAACCTCAAAGAATGTATAATGCTTTAAGAAATTATTGGATTTGGAAATTATTAAAATCTTGGGAATCAGATCTTATGTCATCTGCACTCTCTCCTGTTTCTTCACTGACTCCAATCAATCTTATGTTATTCTACTTTGCATCGTCTAGCAGCTGCTGGATTGATTTCTCGTGGTCCCTTAAAATTTTAAAGCAGTTTTTCTTTTCCTGGTCACTAATTACAATCTTATCTTCTATATCTGAAATTCTGTCCTCACATTGGTCCATTGTGCTGCATAGACTTTCAGTGGAGTTTTTAATCTCCTGGAAATCTGTTTGCATCTGTTTTATGGATTCCATTTGTTTCCTATGTTGGGATTCCATCATGTTCCTCAGATCTTCTATTTTATCTATGTCCTCTCTAGATTTATCAATCATGTTTTGCACTATGGGCACAATCTCTGCTGTTATCTGAGAAATTATTTCTGATTTCATTTTTTTCAGATCTTCTTTTGTTGCCAGTTCAGGGAGTCCAGGTGGTTGAGTATCAGATTGTTCCATCTTGTTTCCCTTTGGGGTTGCTGTAGGTGATCTGGAAGTCTGTTTTTGAGGCTTGTTTACGTGTCTTCTCATTTCCAAAGGGGTGGGGGTGCTGCTGGTGCCTGCGTGACTCACCTCCTCTGCCCTGGGCGTGGTGGAGAGAATCAGATGTTAAGGACAGAAATGCTATATAAGAACTAAAATTGAATAGAAAAGTAATCTCATAAGGTATTTGATATTGTACATTCCATAAAGTGTAGATATCCTCATGTTTTACCAAATTAGGTGCTTTTCCTATGTTTTTTAATATCTATCATCAATAACAGTTCATTATCCATTTATATTACTTAAAGCTTCTATTTTAAATAGAAATTCTCCAAATATAATATAGAACTTTAGATATTACCATTTATATTTTAGGCTGAGGATATACCTCAATGGTATAGCAACTACTTACCAAGGACAAGGCAATGGGTTTAATTCTTAGCACTACCCAGAGAGATGGGAGGGAGAGAGAGAGAGAGAGAGAGAGAGAGAGAGAGAGAGAGAGAGAATACTACATATTCTTTTATGTTTAGAGAGGCAGAATAGTCTTATAACAAATATCTTGGATGTGGAACTGAACAGTCTGACTTCAAATCTGAGATCTACAACCAGCTGTTGAGCATCAGAAAAATTAACACTTGTGCCTTGATTTCCTTATCACTAAAATAAAATAACCTGCCTAATAATTGAGTTATTAGGAAGATTAAATTAGCAATATATTAATGAGTTTCTGTAGTGCCTAATACGTGAAGAGTATCATAGAAATAGTTGTTCTTCTTACTACTATTGTTGTCATGGTTATTAACATTTGTTGTAAATCATTGAGTGCTATAAGCTAGATTCGGCATAGTTTATCTTTTTATAGTGGTAGTCTGTGATGATTTGCTTCTACATTTGGCAAACACAGACACTTAGGGAATGAACTGTGACAGTGTTCCTATTCTCTCTTTTAGCTCATGATATCACAGCTTCTACAGCAATGGGGAGAAGAAGGGTTCCTAGCTCACGTAGACAGGTATAGAATCATTTCTTAAAATGTTTATGAGCAAAATAGGAGCCTCACAAACAAAGCACACAGCACCAGAGTGTTGATTTATTATTCTTCCTTCCTAAATATACTAAGCCAGATAATGGGAACAGTCTATTAAAGGTCAAATCCTGAGCAGAGTGGAAAGTCTTCCCAGGAGCACCCAAGTGATGCCCTGAAAGCAGTGTCAATGAAACCCCAAGGTAACCTGAAATTCCCTCCAGGTTTGGATGCGTACACAAAAGCATTCTCTTTAATAATTAATTTACTGTGAGGGACACATGACACAGGAGTTGACTCATGTACTGATAAGTAAGAACATAATCTACCTATATAGTCAACACAATGGTGCAAGTTATGAACTGCTGTGGTTATGTAAGTGTGGTGCCTCCTTGGCCATGTAGAAATAAGGAGGAAGGGGTCCCCTCATTCCCAGACCAGGGATCCACCATTCTAATAGTACTGTCTTTGATGCTCAGGATTCTTCTGCCTTGCAAATTCAATCATTATTTGAGACAACTAAACAAAGAGCAATCCTCCTGTTTCTAAGTTCTATGTTTTACATAGAAGTGTACTTTTTTACTCTATTGATATTTATTTTTTGATTCATCCACAATAAAGGAACAAACATACTACTAAAAATAACACAAATACTCTCCTGCCTTTTCTCAAGCATTCAACATTTTAAACAAGAGAGAAAACAAATTCTTATAATTTGGAGTTCAAAGCTAGTTTTGTTTCTGCAGTCCATGTACAGAACATGTCTTTGTCATTGTTCTCCTCTTCCAGGGTTATTGATTTCTACAGGAACCAGAGGGATGCCTTATTGGCAGCTGCAGAGAAGTGGTTAAGTGGTGAGTAAAATGTATATCTGCCCTTATGATAAACAATAACACCTGTAAGAGTGGGCGATAAATACTATATATCATTGACATTCCTAGTGGGAAAGAAACTGCAATCCTGGAGTGTTCTTGGCAGGGAGATGTTTCTCCAAAAAAGATCTCACAAGTAACATCCTAAAAAACCCAACACAGTTCTTCCTATCTCTACTATCTATTGCAAAAATGTGTGGTTCTTAAAAGAATAATTAACTAGACTAAAAGCCAAACAGCAGTAGCTTACTTACAGCTAAATAACAGCCATGTTCAAATTTTTTATTTATTTCAAAATTTTGTCCCAAACATATAATAAAATATGTTTCTCAGTAAGCTGTATGAAGACAAGTACTGCATTGTGAAGCAGATCTCGCATTACAAATTCTTTCTCTTCTAGCCCTTAACCATGTTTATCTAATATTAGGTATTGCTAATTTGATTTCAGAATGTGTCAGAATTACTTTCATTATGGAGGACAGTCAGAAGAATTATGTGGCTTTAACTATATCATTTAAAATGCCTGTTATATGAACAATAATAAACCAAAAATTTCAGTTCCCTATCTGTTACAACTAATTCTCTACAAAGTCTTGGTAAAAATTGAATTATTACGTGTTTGGTAAGAATACTGTTCCATCATTTTGCATATAATGATGAAGTAAAAGTTGTAACTGCAGAAGAAGTTCTTTAAAAATAGTAATTAAAATCAAAATAAATCCCCTTTTTTTATTTCTCTATCCTAATATACAGTGGAACATAAAGCTTAAAAATGCATATGGAATTCTTGAATTTTAAGTACTTCTTTTCATAATTGACTGCATTCTGATAAAAACTAATACACTGAACTTCTAAACTATCGCATAAATGATTAGATTAATTGAAACACCAGGTCACTCTAGGAGGAATTGAAGAATTGTCTTTTAAAACCAAAGCAGCCACATTTGGCTTAGCTATGGTTCTAATTATTTGAAGGAAAGTGGCAATGTATTTCTAGTTCTCCTTTAAGACTGGCTGTAGTTGTAACTGTTCACACAGGAGCTACTCAGTCTCCCTCCCTCTCTCTTACCCACACAGACTCCTCAAAATAATCCCGGAGTATCAATTTTCAAGGCTCATAAAATTATATTTTAAAAAATCTTATCACCGAAGGAACTTTTTTAGAAGTACTAGTTTATAATCACCACATTATGTCACTGAACAATGTAGTTAATATATATTCTCTTTTGTGTGTAGGTTTGGCAGAATGGCATGTACCTGTTGCTGGTATGTTTTTATGGATTAAAATTAAGGGCATTTCTAATTCACGGCAACTGATTGAAGAAGAAGCCATTAAGAAAGAGGTGAGTGGGCTCTGGGATTTAGCTCAGTGGTTCCGGCGCCTGGCTACCAAGTGCAAGGTCCAAAGTTCAATCCCCAGATATCTAAAGCAAAGTTACACTTTGTATTTAAAGTAATTTTTTTACTTGACTAAAAATGAAAAAAGTTATTTTGTATTACCCAGCAGTAAATTCACACTGTTCTAATATTAGGCATGCTACCTCATTATTAAAATAGTAATAAATGTGAGGATTACATAATTATTCAGTTGGTCTAAATGAATGGAAGCACAGTTCATTTTTATTCCTTCATTTTATGTATTTTTTACCTCCTTTCATTCTTTTAATGTACTATTTTCTTCCCATTTCATGGCCTTTACATCTCTTCCCTAAAATATTGTTCCCTGCTTTTTGCTAGGCCAACAACTACTTATCTTAATGATTCTAGCTTATAAATTACAAATTTATTAACTTGAAATGCTATCTCATTGAATTTTCCAGTTAGATTAGATAGTTGTTTTGTAGCCATTTATGTTCCTTTAGTAAGCTGTCCTTTGCACATTTTAGTGTTTTTCTTTTCCATTTCTGTTCACTGTTTAAAAGTAAAGAAGGAATAACATTGGCCAGTCTATCCATTTAGTCTTGTTTGCTGGATGACACGCAATATTTATATATTTTTTTTGTTCTTTTGTGATTTCTTAAACTGCTTTTAAGTTTAGAACATCCCTCTTACTCTGAGGTTAGGTCAACCTGTGTTTTAGTTATTCTCCAGTGGCAACATCACTTATTTTTCCACAACTTTTCTTAGGTTTTACTGGTTCCCGGGAGTGCTTTCTACAAGGACAGCTCAGCTAATAGCCCTTACTTCAGAGCCTGCTTCTCCATGGTTTCTGCAGAAGAGATGGATGTGGTGAGTATGGTATTCTCTTCAGAGTAACACCAGCCCTTCCTTCTGGGCTTTGGTGCGTGTGTTAACCTTTTAAATTAAAACATTACTTAATGTCTTCTCAGGTTACCAAAATCTAGATCTTTATGGATCATTGTGAACTCTCATTAAATATCCCTTTACTTTACTACTAGACCTCTAAATGAGCTAGTTAAAGTTTCTTGTCTTTGTGAATAACTTTTCAGAACCTACTGAACAGTGTTGAAGATTATAGTCATTTTATAGGAAAACCTCTTTCCTTCCTTTACGGGATTAACATGAATGAAAATTACAAAATCACAATAGATTGCAGTTTCTTTCTCTGAAGAAAAAAAGCATTGGCAAAGTCAATGTATTGGTCAGCTTTTCATCCCTAGAACCAAATACCTGACATATACAACTTAAAGGAGGAAAGCTCTATTTTTGCTCAGTTGCAAAAGATTGAGCATGTAGTCAGTTGACTCCAAGGCACAAACATCATGGTAGAAGAGGTACTTGCTTCATCGTGGGTGGGAATCATATCAGGGGAACAGCACCAGAGAGGAAGGGGCTAGGGAGCAGACATAGTCCCCAAGGTCAGCCTCCATGATCCACTTAGACACACCCAGAAGTGTCCTTCATTAATCCTCTGGGCAGCTGCCAAGCCAATCAAGTTGGCAAGTAAGGTTAACCATTGCACTCCAAATCAATAATATTCTAAATTACAGTCCAGCTTTAACCAAAATAATAAGCAGCAAAGGAACAAGATCCTAAGGACTATGCATCTGGAAATCCAAAAAGCAGAATTATAAATTGAAAGGTACTCTTAACCCTTAGTAGAATTTATCCTTATTTGGGGAGATAGTCCAATTTGGTATGTTCTTTCTTTGTTTGCTTTCTTGTATCATTAATTATGCTTTTCATAAGTTCTCCCTGCTTTCATATATGAATAGAGTTGGACAGTCAAAACTATAGAGAATGCGTTTGCAGGTGGACTATTACATGAAAAGATAAAATAATTTGTGTTGTGGACAAAATACAAAATGATGACCATGAAAATGATGATCATTGTGGGAGACTGCAATATTGATTATGTCTCAAAGCGGGCTGTAAACACTGTAGGCTATAAAGAGTTAACCCCATAACTGGCTTCTTTATAGAAGTGAGTCTGGCTGAAGCCTACGTGCCAAGGTCAGAGTAACTCCCACCCAAATTCTGTTCCCACAACTAAAACCTTCTTACTAGAAGGACAATGTTCTAATTACAACCATACATTTTGTCTATTCTGTTCCTAATTCGAGAATGCTTTGTCTTGTCCTTTACTAGTTTTGTTTACACTAATTTCCATAGAAACGACATAGTCTTGCCCTTCCACATAGCTTGCCTTTACCCCAATTGATTGCCAATAAAAATCAGTGCCTGGGACTGGCCAGCGTCTTTGTCTGTTGTACCGGCATTGGTTATCCTGGTTCCCCTCTTTCTCTCTTAGTTCTGTATGGTTTTTTTTTTGGCCCCAGGCCTACATCATATACTGGGCAGGAAACTGGAACCTATTCCACCTTGGGCACCCATTGTTAGAGACCCCTGAAGAAAGTCTGTAGTCCCCACCTGCTCAATATGTGATGAGAGGTTGAAGGAAAAAATATACTGAAACAGAACTAAGAGAAAAGAGAGAGGACTGGGGCGGCCAGTGGTGGATCCCCAGCAAAAGACCCTGGTCAGTCACATCCACTGAATTTTATTGTTCATCATTTAGGGTACAGATACACGTACAGATGTGGGATATGTGCAATTATTATGGAAATTAATGCAGACAAGGATTTAAAGAGAAGAAGCAAACCATTTTCAAATTAGAAGCAAGATAGACAAAATATATGGTGGTAATTAGAGCACTGTCCTTCTAGCTATGAAGGCACTAATTGTGGGAATGGAATTTGGGTGTGATTTACTCCAACCTCAGCTACACATGTTGTGTCATGTTAGCTCCACAGTTTCATAGGCCATTACTCTGGTCTCAGCTGAGGCCATTATCAGGGAGGTCACGTTGACCTCCACACTACCACAGTGCTCATGAGATGCTTCAGTGTGTCCCGTAGCTTCAGTCAGACTTGCTTCTTAAAGTAAGACAATTGAGGGATTTACAGCCTCCACTGCTTACAGCATGCTTTGGGCATAATCAGTATTGCAACTTCCTGCAGATGATGAGGGTTATAAGAACCAAAAGCATCCTAAAAATCTCACATGGCTATATTGACATGTTTTAGTAAACATCCATGACCTTTGCCCCATTAATATCAACTTGACTTCTCATTGCCTTATCCTCAAATGAACACTGGCTTTTTAAAGTTTTGATCAACTTTTCCAAAATAACCTTCTAATTTCATTAATAATTCTTATCTCTTTTCTATTTTAGGCCTTCCAGAGATTAGCTCAAATTATAAAAGAATCTTTGTGAAGAAGTCCAACTAATCATACTCCTCATGGGATTTTCAGATTAATTAGTTCTGTGTTTTGTGTGAAGGAAACAATTATTGATGCTATTCTTTCAGAGTGATGTCAAACATATTATGTATGTGTATCTGTAGTAGTTTAACTCAACAACTTGTGAAATTCCTTTAAATCCATCAGATTGCAAAAATGTATTTGTAAGCCACTTAGGCTTTTCACTTTTTAATCCGCAAAAAAATTATTTTTCTTAGAGAACTTTGTAGCTGCCTTATAGTGTTGAATAAATTTTCGCTGAAACTAACACTTCATGCTAAATTATTTTGCAATTTTAAGAAAATAATTAAATTCAAAATGGTATATGATCCATACTTTTTCTGTTTCTAGGGAAACTTAATGAGAGCCTATTGCAAAAAATCATTATTATAATTTGGTCATTATAAATGAGTTTTTAGCCAGGTAGGGTGGTGCCGGCACTTGGAAAGCTGAGGCTGGAGGATCACTAAGAGTTCAAGGACAGCCTGGGCTACATAGTGAGTTCAAGGCCAGCCTGAACTACATAGTGAGACCCTCTCTCAAAATGAATAAATAAATAAGTAAATAAAAATAAATAAAAGAGTTTTTAGTGAAAATACCAGAGATACTATGTTAAGATACAGAAATCTGTTTCAAATAAATTTCTAAAATTAAACAAACCTGAAGGCATCAGACTTGTTAACTCTAAGTTGGAAGGAGAGATCATGGACTTAGGAAAGTTTACTACATTGTATTTTTATAATACTACATAATGTACAAAAGCACATTCTTATCAGTTAGGTAATTAAAATCTACTACAACCCTTTGAGATATTCAGAATCCCTTTTTAATGATTTTGTCCTCATTTTTGGAGTCTTTGTTTTTCCATCTGATTATTAAAGTAATGTACACTTATTTTTAATTTGCAAACAACCCAGAAAGCATAAGGCATAAAGTAAATGCCACTTTCTACCTCAACTCTATTCATAACTGCTGTCAGCAGCTATCATTCTTCCTTTAAGATATTTTCTATGCATACATTTGTCGTAGCTAACAGAACACAAGCTCATTGTGACAGAGTACCATACATACCCTTTATTTATTTTCTATCCCTGTCTAGTGAATTACCACAGTTTTTCAAGACCCAGTTGTAAGCTTACAAGTTTCTTTGAGGTATTAGGAAGATTATATCACTGCTATCTGTTCCATCCCTTGTGTATATGTACATCTCCATTATACAAATTAGTTGTTTTCTAATATAGAGGCATTGCCCCACAAACCCAACAATTAGTGACAATTTGTCCAATAAAATGGGTTTCTTTGTTGCTAGAAATTTCTCCAGGAATGTCCCATAAAAGAAACACATTTCCTAATAACTTCTTAGCACCAACATAGCATAAACTTTCCTGCATTGGGAAAGCTTCTTTACAACCAGAAAAAAAAATCAGATAGTTAAAAGAACAAATGGATACCCCACTAAGAAAAGCAACTGAGTGAAGCCCATTGATCAAAATGTTAAAAAAAAAATTAATTTCTTAAAACCAGCTGAAAATGTCAGGTGAAACATACTACCTGACATTTTTATTGTTTTCATAGGATAGTAATGGTATGGTACGTGTACCACAGTGGACATGCAGAGCCCTCTCTGTGGGTATGCAAGCCAAGTTGCCCCAGGAACTGAGCATGGATAGCGGTTGTTTTTACCAAACTAAAACCTCAATATTCAAGTTTAATTGCAGTATTAGCACTTCTCGATAAATAAGTGGGTTTGGGGTTGCAGTTAGCCACTCAGTCCTTAAAAGGTTTGCCATCACTGTCCTAGAATTATGAGCTTGGCAAACTAAATGTTCAATAGAAATCATGTGTGTTAGTCACTTTTCTCTCATTGCTGAGACAAAATACCCGACTGTAGGGAACAGGGAAAGGGGACATTACTGAGCCTTGGGCCTGATCAGTGCTGCTCTGGGCAGCAAAGATGAAAATCCCCAAGCTTGCCACACCTTTATTCAGTACATCAGGAGAAACAAATGTAACAGATGACTGGGGGGCTGTGGAAATCCTAGATCAAGGAGGAACTATGCAGATGAAGATTTGTTCCTCCCAGGATCTCTTTAGCTGCTGTAATCTTGTCCTGGAGCATCACAGCATCATCGGACCACTAAGGTCTTAGCTGTGGCCGGAGGCCAAAATGGAGTTATGTCTGGACATGCCATAGCTGGCCTGTAGGCAGGAGAAGTAGGCCTAATCAAATGATTTTGCCCCAAAATTATGTAGAATTGCTCCTGATACCCAACACCCAAAGTTAAAAGGGAAGGGGTTTATTTGGCTTATAGTTCGTTTCAATCCATAATTGGCTGACTCCAAGGCAGGGATGACAAACAGGCATGGCAGAGCAGAAATAACAGCACACACATGGTAGCAAAGGTAGCAAGAGAGTTTAACAGCATCTTGCTGCCCCTTTTATCTTATTCAGACTACCTGGATTAGGGTGGTGCCAAACTAATCACTCACATGTAGTGGTTTAGTAATCTTATGCCCTTAACCCCAGCATCACACATTCCCCACTACCTCTGAAAAAGAAAGTCCCATCTCTTCTGCATGAGGCTTTGGGGAAGATCTAAACATAAACCATAACACCATGTTATTTTAGAGCAGTCTCCCCAGCAATTTAGATAATCTTGTTTTTGCACTGACAAGTTGTGGAATACAGAACTTTTACCAATGGAAGCTTCAGGGACTCAAGGAAGGCCAGGCAGCTATTTGAGCCTTCTATGAGTCCACACTTAGCACTGAACTTACTTCCTTTCAGATGCCAATTTTGCTTTTCCGTTGCACTGATTATTAAATAGGTCATCTAGGAGAACTAACTTGCATCCATGCTGTGGTGCTCACTCAAACTGCCTATTCTAACCATTTTAGCACTAGCTGATTTAGCATAAAAATTTACTAGGGAATTTTCTTTATATTCAGGATCAGTTTTACAGGTAGGGGTTTCAGTCTTAATAATGACTGTTTGTGCTAGCCAACTGGAAAGGAACTAATCTTCACAGAGTCTTTTTATGGGGGGTCCCACTAGCAGTGAGAAACACTTTGATTCCAATATAAAATTATAGATTACTCTGAAAGCATATCTGTATAAATTTTTACTGATTAGAAAATGACAGGCTTGAGTGACAGCCAGCTCTCAAAGTTGAGCTGACTTGATTAAGGGAAGAGCTTCTTTTCTACTGACACACCTCGGTTATAGTAGCAGACCCTGCCTGGTATTTTCCTTCTGAGTTTTTGGCATAAGACCCTCAATAATCAATGAAAAGTAATCCATGACTGTTCAATGGAGCCTCTCATGAATCAACAGATGCAGCCATTATTTCTGATCTTAAACTCACATGATTGTGGTTTTCTTCGTGTGGGAAATAGAGTAGCAGGGTAAAGTAAGTTTACAACACCTTAGGTAGACATTAAAAAAAGAAAGGGGAATTTCACTAGTTTATATTAAGCTACTTGCTGAGAAATGTTAAGTTTGATGGGAATTTAACAAACTTTTCACAGTGTGTGTGACTTGCCAATAAAATAACTTTCTTAAAACCAACTCAAATGAAACCTCCATCCACCTAGCTGCTGCTGCTACTACTTCTGAACATTTAGGCTATGCCTCAGCTCCTGTGTCTAATTGCAGGCTATAACGTGCAATGGGCCTATGTTTTCACCAGATTCATGGGTAAGAACCCTGAATCCCTGATTGTTACACTCATGAGCAAACAAGATAAAAGATTTAGCATAGTTTGAAATTCCTAGTGCTGAGGGCTGTTCTAGGGCCAGTTTCTTTTAGCTAAAGCTTGCTAATGACTGTCTTTCCAAGGTCATGGCTCTGGAACAGCACTTCTAGCTAGCTTGTGTAATAGTGAGGCCATTAGGAAAAAATGAGGGACCTAGGATCTACAGTGTCCTACAAATCCAAGAAAACATCTTAATTGCCTTTTGGTTGTAGGCCAAGGAAAACTGAATAGTTTTTATTGTCTCAAGTGCCAAGGAAATCTCTTGCACATTCAGATCATGTCCTAAATAGTGAAACTCTTCCCTTGAAAACTGAAGATTTCCCATGGAAACCTTATGACCTTTATGTGCAACTTGCTGAAAAAGGCAGGTTGAGTCCATTTTAGAGCAGTGTTTATTGGAGGAGTATAATTTTAGGTCATCTGTGTACTGAATGAGAGTAGAATTTCAAAGAAACTGCAGAGCTGTGCAGTCCTGATGCAATGGCTGTGAAAAACAAGGAGCTTCAGTGAGCCCTTGCGGCACTGCTGCCCAGGTGGACTGTGGACATTTTCAAGTACAAACAAACAAGCGCTCTCTTTCTCAACAGAAATTAAAGAAAACTGAGCAAAGGTCTATTACCGTGCACCCTTTCAGCTTTTGGTCTGCGTGTGTGTATATGTGTGACTGTGTGTGTATGCTTTATATTTAGCTTTTTATTTTATGCCAACACAGCTGATACAAATAAGTCTTCAGAAAAACAGTATGTTGCATTATATAAAGGTACAATTCCCAGTGAGAAATGTAATTGTGTTGTATACCTACAATGCACCAATAAAAGAATTTAATACAAAAAAAGAGAAAGAAAAACAGTATGAACATTGAATGCAAACAATATTATATTACTTATGGTTTATGTTTCCATGATTACACTCCAGATCAGGATACAGATGTTGATATTCAAGGGAAATTAGTTTGTAAAATAGACTTTGGAAATATTGTGGCAAAACCACACAAGATACCTCAGTAGACAGAGTAATTTGCTTCCTTGAGCCATTATTAGGACTTTCTCATGATGGCTTCTGCTTCCTCTGATGGATGTTTTTAGCTCTCTCTCTTTCTCTGTCTCTCTCTCTGTCTCTCTCTCTCTCTCTCTAAACACACACACACACACACACACACACATATTTATTCAATTGCTGAGCATCAGAAATAGCTTTGCAAGTTTCAGTTCTTGGATTTTTAAAAATTCTTTGTTAAATAGTTTTTCAGGCATGGGAATAATTTGTAGCTTGAGGAGGAAGAAATAAATAATTGTTCTAGAAGTGTCGTGATAGATGTCTCTAATCCCAGCACTCTGGGAGCCTCAGGCAGGAGGATTGCAAGTTCAAGCCCAGCCTGGACAATTTAACAACTTTAGTGAGACCCTGTCTCAAAAAATATAAAAGGCTGGGGATGTAGCTCAGTGCAAAGGCCCTGGGTTCAATCCCCAACACCACCAAAAAATGAATGAATAAATAAATAGAAAAAAAACAAAT